TCCTTCATCCAAAAAAAAAAAAGCAAAAAAAAAGCCAGAAAGATACCGAGACAGTTTAGTTTTAGTAAGAGTTTTAGTGTACTTGAAACACAATAAGGTCATAATATAAGTGCCGAAGATTAGAGGTGTTACAAGAGAGTAACAAACACAAAAAAGAAGGAGGGGAGATAAAGATGATAGATGATAGGAGAGAAGAAGCAAACCACACCAGAGCACCCGCCAACCACTCACTAAATAGATAAACCAGTCAATACATAGATGGACCAGTCACTAGACAGATAGATAGATCAGACACACCACACACAGATAGATAGCCCAGCCAGCCTTACCTTGGTGTCGTTGGACGCCATCTTGAGTGTGTACTTCCGCTGCATGCGCGTGTCGTTGTTTACGTGCTGCAGGGCAATGTGTACCGCGGGCAACACACCCCTGCCCACTGCGCCGGCGGGGAGATCCTCAGTGGACGGGAAAAGGCCCGCTATGTACACGTTAGGCCTCTCCGATGATGATGACGACATCGACGACGATGATGATGATAATGATGATGATAATGATGATGACAGCAACGATGATTGGCTTCGAATTTCCTCCAACATATTTCCGGAAGCCTGAGAGGAGGAGGAGGCGGCTCCGTGTTGCGTGTCTGTGGGTGCCCCGACAACATCCGGCACGCCCCCTACAGTAATCTCCTCCTTCTTCTCTTCCCTTTCTTCTTCCTCCTCCCTTTCTTCTTCCTCCTCCTCCTCCACCAGGCTACTGGAGGTCACGGAGGAGCCTAGTAGCCCTACGTCCACATAGGCCGGGAGAAACTGGTGCCCGGCTGCGCTCTCTAGGGGCTGGGTTCGCATCTCAGAGGAGGCGGCTGCCACGTTAGCTGGGGGTTGGTGGTGGTGGATCAACACCTCAGTGTACGGGCCGTCAGGGTGTTGTTGTTGTTGCTGTTGCTGCTGTTGCTGTTGATGTTGTTGCTGCTGCTGGTGGCGGTGGTGGTGGTGATGATGGTGGTTTTGTTGGTGATCATCGTGCGTGAGGTGCAGGTTTCCTTCAGATAGCTGCTGCTGTTGTTGTAGCTGTTGTTGTTGTTGTTGCTGCTGCTGCTGCTGAAGATGTTGTTGATGTTGCCTTACTTTCTCAGTCTGCATTTTTGTTGTCGTTGTTGTTGAGTCTAACTTTACTAGGGCCGCGTGAGAGGTGGTTGGAGGGTGGCTCGTTGTATCTTCGAGTCCAGAGACTTTTGGCCGGTTCTGCCACGTCTGTCCTGTCCCAAAGAGAGAAGATCTATCCTTGGGATTCCCGGCACGGTTGCTGGACAAAGTATCGCTCTCCCCCTCCGAGAGTATCGGATCAGGAGCGGCGGGAGGCTTCTCCCCGATCTTCTGCCCTTTCCCCATCGCGCTCTGCTCCTTCCACAGACGATACTCCCAGAAAGGATCGCTCTCATCTGTGTAGTCGTAATCGTAATCGTACTCCACTCTGGCACTGTTCACATTGCTTCCGGGTACATCCTGGGCGACGATATAAAAGGGTACAAGACAGAGTACGAATATCCAAAGTGTCAACGTCCGGGCGATACTAGAGCTAAAACAGAAGTATGGTCGTATACAAGGGAAAGAGGTGGCGAGGAGGATCGGGCGTGCGGTCGTTTGATGAGAATCCCTGTTCACATAACTGGTCGTCTGATTTGAATCTCTGCCCACACAAAAGGTCGTTTGATCAGGGTCTTTGCCCAAATCAGTGGTCGTTTGAAGAGAATCTCTGCTCATACAAAAGGTCGTTTGATGGGAATCTCTGTTCACACCAAAGGTCTTTTGATTAGAATAGTTGCTCACCCCAAAAGTCGTTTGATGGGGATCTTTGCTTACACAAATGGTCATTTGGTGGGAATCTCTGCTCAAACTACTGATGGTGTTACAGGATTCTTTGCCCACATCACTGATCTTTCGCAGGACATCAGTCAGACGACATAATGTGTATTCTCGTGACGTCAGACGTGACCTAGATCTCTGACAGCGTGCCTGTGGCGGGGCGGGTGCTGGACTCCCCTCTCTGGAGTACTGTGTCTGTGCAGGGGGGCGGGGGCAGGATCGGTTGGTGACGTCATTGCTCACCTGTACACTGCTACCACGCGACGACACGCACGCGCACACGCACGCGCAGACTGTGGACTCTGCTGCTTGCATTCCTGACATTCTTCCTGGAAAAAGAGCTGGCTGGCTTTTCTCGGGCAAAAAAAGAAAATTGCGTGGTCAAATGGGCATCTTAGTAATCGCCCGCACTCTGTGGGGTAACTGGGTTTGGTTTGGGTGTTACGCCTTTCTCTGAACAGACAAGGTCATGACGTAGAGAAATTGTCCCATGATTCATCCTGGTCGGGGTTGTGTGGGACAGTGTGGGGGTCAGTGACAGATGACCGGAGAAGTTATGAGGGACATCAACATCGACGGAAGTCAGCACAAGCATTTGTCATGTGGAGTGCCTTGATGTCACATGGATTATAGGGTTGTCACCTGTGGTGCCGTGATGTCACGTGGGTTATAGTGATGTTTCGTGGGTTATAGTGATGTCCCGTGGGTTATAGTGATGTCCCGTGGGCTATAGTGATGTCCCGTGGGCTATAGTGATGTCCCGTGGGCTATAGTGATGTCCCGTGGGTTATAGTGATGTCCCGTGGGTTATAATGATGTCCCGTGGGTTATAGTGATGTCCCGTGGGGTGCATGATGTCGCGTGGGGAGCCGTAATGCCACGTGCAGTGTCTTGGTGTCGCGTGGGGTGTCGTGATGTTCTCCTCTTGATCAAAGGGTGACTTCATTCTGGAAATAAACCAAACACAAGAAAGCACATTTAGAGCCTGGTGCTGACGTCACACAATAGTCGGGGTCGTCGTCTATAGCGGGCCTGGGACGTACACACACACACACACACACACACACACACACACACACACACACTCACACATACACACACACACATATGCACACACTCACACATACACACACATATGCACACACACACACACACACACACACACACACACTCATACATACACAAATTGTGAATGTCAAGGACACAGATTGTGGAGGTCAGAAGGTCAAGAACACAGATTGTGAAGGTCAATGACACAGACAGACAACCACGACAAAACAAAAAAAAATAAGACAGCGGCGAAATCTCTCCCGAAGACTGATCTTGTTGCAGACGAGAAACTAGATCATCATTTTTCACTAGACAGAGAACAGAATAGAGAAAAGAATAGACAAAAGAACAAGTTATTGGAAGGAAGGAATTAGAGAAGACACATAAATACAAGAGTGCAGGGATCTTTTATTTATCACGGCGGTAAATCACCAATTGCCTTCGTTCCCACATCGTCGAGCGCCGAGACAGACAGAGACCAGATTTTTATTTGGACAGTTCGCTACCTCAGAACTACAAAGTTCTATCTGACATTTTGGGTAGAGCTGGGCAAATAATCCATTCCGGAACCGATTCACGGAACCGATTCCCATGATTAATGCTACGGAAGAAAAAGTACCGCGACTCCTTTTTATGAAAACCAAAGGATCTTTTCTTTTTTTAAAATAAATTATTGCTTAAAAAATAAAAGTTGATACTTCTTAGTGTTCCGAAATTAATGTTGTCCTACATCATGAAGACGTTCAGAGCCAACCAGGTAACCACCGGAAGAAATCAAATCACATCATCAGAAAGTAAGTTACTGGGTTCGGAGTCGATTCCTACGATTCCTAGCTTTCAACAATCGGGAACCTAGCCGCCCAGCACTAACTTTGTTTGGGCTGTTTTGAGTTACTGAGACCATGATATCAGAAACCAAATGTTCTATCTGCTCTATCAAAATCGCAAGACTATTCCGATTCGTTAGTAAGATATTCGACGAATAATTAATTGCATTCGAAAAACCTTGACATGATGAGAAACTCAAACATTTTTCTCGTCAAATTTCTCGAAACTCGGTACTGAGCAGATAGAACGGTTTGATTCTGAGGAAACCATTTCCCTCAAACTCTCCACACAACAAGGAAATTGGTTACGCATCATCAGTGACAGCGTCCTTCATTCCGGGCACTTGTGAGTCCAAGCTGTTGTCCTTCTGTCTATCCCAAGTTGTCCTTCTGTCTATAACAAGTTGTCCTTCTGTCTATCCCAAGGTGTCCTTCAGTCTATCCCAAGTTGTCCTTCTGTCTATCCCAAGTTGTCCTCCTGTCTATCGCAAGTTGTCCTCCTTCTGTCTATAACAAGTTGTCCTTCTGTCTATCCAAGTTGTCCTTCTGTCTATCCCAAGTTGTCCTTCTGTCTATCTCCGGCAATCTCCCGTGAGTAACTCTCGCTCAAAACACGCCGAGCTTATTGAAAGTTGCCGGGGACAACAGACTGAGAGAGAGAGAGAGATATAGGTGTGTGTGGGTGGGGTAGTGGGTAGGTAGTCTCTTTGCTGCTGCACACAGAAGGCGTAAGTTCGAATTCCAAGCGAGTGAGGACGTTTTATTGTTGTTGTTCGCGCCTATATTACGGGTAAAATCAGATCCTATCAGACTCTATAAGAAACCCAGAC